TCTTGGTGCACGAAAAAGCAGACTCGTGTTTCTAGATCATCCACTGAAGCTGAATATCGAGCTATGGCTGCAGGGGTTGCAGAAGCTATGTGGCTTCGATATATCACTGATGCACTGGGTATTCCTCCGTCCAAACCGAAGTTATACTGTGACAATGAGTCGACTATCTGTGTCACCAAAAATCCGGTTCTTCATGATCGCATGAAGCATGTGGGCACAGACTGTCACTTTGTACGAGATGAGGTTATGGCAGGCACTATGACTCCACATCATGTTTCCTCCTTAGAGCAGCTAGCAGACATTCTTACCAAACCGCTTCCGCCAGTTCCTTTTGAGTACTTATGTTCCAAGCTGCCCCTCGTCTCCGTTGATCAGCTTGCGGGGGGATATTAGGAAGTATAATTAAATTAGGATACTTCTTTCCTTTCCTACTAGGATTATTCTTTCCTTTCCTACTTGTACTTTGATTACTCTTGTATTCCCTATATATAGGGTCATATCTCTCAATATTCAATAAGATAAGTTATTATCAAATTGTATCAATATATATATATATATATATATATATATATATATATATATATATATATATATATATATGGCCACCCACCTTTTACTAGTGCAAATGCAAATGCAGGTATTGTGTTGTTTTTGACCCATTGGATGGATCTTCCAACATTGATTGTGGTGTTTCCATTGGAACTGTATGTAGTATATATATGCATTTCTTTGGGATTCTCCATTTTTACTATCTAATGTTTCGAATTCTCCATTTTTATTTGTTTCTTTCTTCTATCTTGCCTGCTTATATATATATATATATATATATATATATATATATATATATATATATATATATATATATAGATCTTTGGGATTTATATGATCAGAGATGGTCATGAGCCAGAGCTGAATGATGTGTTGCAACCTGGGAAGAATATGTTAGCTGCTGGCTACTGCATGTATGGGAGTTCTTGCACTGTGAGCAATACTCTATTATTTCATACTCTGATCTTATTACATACATATTTCATTAATAAATCATCTTTTATTTCTGACATTCCATCCATTGATGATTTAAATCAATCAAAATGCAGTTTGTGTTGAGCACAGGATCTGGAGTTAATGGTTTTACCCTTGACCCATCACTGGGAGAGTTCATACTAACTCATCCCGATATCAAGGCAAATGCCATTACATGTACATATACTCATATATATATTGCTCTTTGATTGTTTGGATATATATATATATAGGCTCATAACTACTTGTGCTTTTGAACGAACGTACTGCAGATCCCGAAGAGAGGAAAGATCTACTCCGTGAACGAAGGAAACGCTAAAAACTGGGATGGCCCGACTGCAAAGTACGTCCAATATATAATGGCTCTTTAATTGATTACTGTCGAAATATTGGAATAATAATATTGCTCCTTTAATTATGGAATACATGATAGAGTATATATAGGAGAGATTCCTAACACAACTAGGAATAGAGAATGAAGTCTAACTAAAATACAACATCTACTACAAATAGGATCAGGAAGCTGGCTAATAATGAAACACTACCATAACCAATACTACAAGAAGTACTATTAGTATTATTGTCTAACAATTACTACTTGTATTCTTTCACACATTAGCTTTGAACAAGCAAGCTAATTAAGTGTAACCATGCATTGTTTGAATGCCAGATTTGTTGAAGAGTGTAAGTTCCCAAAAGATGGTTCATCACCAAAGTCTCTACGATACATCGGAAGGTATATTGATCGATTGTTAACCCTATCATAGTAATTGGCCGGTGAATTTGTTGGTTTGTATGTATGTTGATACTAATTAAACGTTACAAATGAAATGAAAGCATGGTAGCGGATGTGCATCGCACATTATTGTACGGGGTTCGTACCCAGCTGACAAGAAAAGTCCCGATGGGAAGCTTCGGGTTCTATACGAAGTCTTTCCCATGTCTTTCTTAATGGAGCAAGCTGGTGGCCAAGCTTTTACCGGCAAACAAAGGGTATATATATATATTTAAACTTATTATTATATTGGTCTAAGTGTTTTAAACTTATCACGGAGTATTATATTCGTTCGTTCATTCATTCGTCATTCATCCGTGACAACGTGCAGGCGCTTGAGTTGGTACCGAAAACGATACACGAGAGGTCTCCAATATTTCTGGGGAGTTATGATGATGTTGAGGCTGTCAAAGCACTCCATGCCGCCGCTGATCGATGATCAAATAACGAGCCAAGAAGTGATGAATCTTCAATTCTTCACACACACACACACACACACATATATATGCTTGTCCAATAATATATAACTCCATTTCCCTAGCTAGCTCCTATCACGGAGTACACATATATAAATAATGCGGAATCCATTTAATTAGGTAGAGGTTGGGTTACATTTGTATATCATGCCACACATTTGACATAAATAAAATAATCCACTTTTATCTCTGTTTTTTTTTAGAGAGAAAATGAAGGTGTTAACTACGAGTATTTACTAACATGATCGAGGAAGTACAATACGCGGGGCCGGGGTACTGAACCAAGCCCTAGCTAGTGTTCAACGGGAACTAGCTCCTTGTGCAAGAACATGTGTAATAAGATACGGAGTACTTATTAATGTTAATTGGGTGGGCATGATATACAAATGGGATACTTCTGGTGCTCTATTTGTAAAATTAACGGTTTCTACAAAAAAAATTATTTTAAAAACAAAAATAAAAATTTTTAATTTGAAATGTATAGATGCAGTATATGTTAATTATTTTTTTTTCAAACAAGAATAATTTTAAATTTTAAAGAATATTATAAAAAATAATTTTAGAGAGAAATTTAAAAATCTTGATTAATAAAAGAAAAAAAATAAAGGAAACAGGGGAAAAACAAAAAACAAAACGAAAAATAATAAATAAGCACCAGTCCCCACATACATGGTTCCAGAAAAATGGTCGAAATATGATAAGCGGGTGTATGAGTGCAATGTTTTGATTTTTGAAACTACGAGAACATTAGAAATGATTTTTTTAAACAAAAAAGTATATGTGCCTATTTTCTAAACCACAAGAGAATTGCCTCCTTGTGCTATTTAGCCAAAATCTAGAAGAACTTAGAAGGATTTGAAGGCTTTGAAATTGTTTGAATCCTTTGTCTCAACTCTCTGTCGCGCCTCCATATTATTAACATAACCACCCTTAGGTCACTGGTAATACATCTAACGTCAAGCGACGTTATTATACTTTTGACGCCTGGGGGCGTTAAACACTACCCCCTTACCAGTTATTGTGTCATTATTTTTGCAGCATCAAACTTTTGACGCAAATTGTAGGCCAAAATTTGGCCGTTGGAGCTCCCTCCCCGCCCCCCACTTCCCTTTCCCGTTGTCGCACCGTGTATTTTTTTATTCAATGAATATAATTTTTTATTAATGAATATAATTTTTTTATTTAATGAATGTAATTTTTTAATTGATGAATGTAAGTTTTTTATTGAACAAATTTAATTTTTTTAAATTAATGAATGTATTTGTTGTTCATGAATGTAATTTTTTTAATAAGTAAAATTAAATAATTAAATTTTTATTAATTTAATTTTGGAAGATGTGTATTTAAAATGTAAAAAATGAAAGTTTGAAGCCTCGGGACTTCAAACCCATTTTCAGTGAATTGGTGAGGTACGTTAAAATTGATGTGGCAGAGAAAGGAAGTTTGAAGCCCCGTGGCTTCAAGACCATTTCCAGTGCTCTTAGCTCTAATTTAACACAGAGTATATATTTGTAAACTTCAATAAAAAAAATTTAAGTTGTTTGAAATAATTTTAAAATGAGAATTTAAACCATTTTACGAAATTTGTAATCATTTTTTCTATAAACCTAGCATTGCTCTAGTTAAAATAGTTGAAAAAATTAGAAATAATAAAAAAAGATGTTACTATATCCAAACATTTTATATTAAATGGATTAGGGGTGAGCGTGGTTCGTTTTGATACTGTACCAAAGATTTCAGTATGGTATTTTACATCGTATCAAATCCTGATCTCGTTCTCTGAGTATCGGTTCGGTAGGGTTTAGGATGATCCTAGTTTACACATTGAAATGTACAAAACATTTTACTTAAAAAAATGAAAGTTCATTCAAATAAAGAAAGATAAACAATTGAAGAATGAATAATTAAATGCAAGGAATTCTTATAAAACTTTGTTTAATTTATACTTCGTATTTCATACAAAAAAAGAGAACGAATGATAATAAAAAAGTATTTCAAATGTTTGTTAATTTTTTATATTCCTCTACAAAAAACTAAAATCTAAATAAATGATTATATAAATAAAGGATTATTTGTAATTCATCTACACTAGAACCGACTTTTCAAAATCAATTCATTTTTAATGAACAAATATAAAAACATCATTATTTTTATAACATATTTTTATTTAGAGAAATTTACCTAAATATGACTAAAACATAATGACTTTCCCAATATATGAACTTTGGCCCTTATCAAGTAGTCATTATTCAACTAAATGTCCATCATTACTGGACATTATTCCTTCCACTAGGTCATTATTAAGTCATATTTAGAGAATAAAAAAATTTAAGTCTTATTTTAGGAAAGTCATTATGTTGTAGTCATATTTAATGCAAATTTCACTTTATATATGTTCGGACCAAGATTTTTCGCTATGCGAAGTTACGAACAGGATGTCGTAGAGGTCCCAGATCATCTCATTATATGGAGTTCTGATTTTATGGGAACCTTTCTGTTCAAAAAAATTGACCATAAAAAAAAATAGAAAGAAAAAATGTATGAAAATCGAAAGATATGACAAAGCACCAAATGTTTGGAATATGAACATTTTTTCAGTACTCCCTCCGGGTACAATTTACGCGAGTCTCCTAATTCAAAATCGTAAAAAGCTAAAGATAATGATTCATCTTCCTTGAATCGTCATTCGCCAGCCATAATAATATTCACAGTAGCTCACTTTCCTCCTAGCGTCATTCTGGTTCCTAGTTCTCACTCACTGAGCCGACTCGCCGTGTAATCCTCCTTCTTTCCGCCTCTGGATTTGCATTCTTTTTTGAAGGATTTTTTATTTCAATTTTTTTTCTTTTTTTTTCCTTTAAAATCTTGTAAAAAGTGTTCTTTGAGATCTATAATTCTTGGTTTATGAGCTTTCTGATCGTGTTGCGTCCGCAATAAGTTCGGATCCGTATACGTAAGAACGCGTTATACCTACCTAACTGCTAATTAATGGCAGAAGAAATGATGAACTGTAGGATAATTTGGGAATAGATAAGGCAGAGAGTCCACTCTGTTGATGATGAAGATCTGATGGAGGGAGAAAGGATTAGTGGTCATATTAGGGTCACTTTGGGCACTACATTATGATGTTAGATTGGCTCTTACAATTCCACAATATTAGCTAGGACTGCTCTTTGCCCAGAATTATTCCCATTAAACCCTTGCCTTAGAATATGAAATCATTTTTGGCCTACGACTACAAGCTTTAGCCTTTGGTTGAGTTGGTTCCTTAATGTGGTATTTGTTGACCGAGAGGTAACAAATTTAAACCTCACTATTAAGGCTTCATGTGCAACACTTGAAGCAACTACGCATGTACCGTGAGAGGGCGTGTTAGAGTAGAAAATCCTTCTCTGAGCTTACAACCACAAGTTTGACTTTTTGGTTGAGTTGTTTCCTTGACACCTTGGCCTCTGGTCTTCAATATTTGGACTTGGCACCTTAATCTACCCAACAAAAGTGTTCATAATTTCTTCATCCAGTTTTATGTTGTTTTCTTTCAATCTATCATTGTTGACATAGTTTTGGGCCAGCTTTTGGCTGTACTGCTTCTACATCTACTTATTGAGTGCCCATTAGTAGCTTTATGAACCTTCCTTTGGGAAAGGTTTGAGAAAGATTATCACAAGTGTGAGTGTGAAGGATTATTTGATAGATAGGTAGTTTTCTGAAGTTCTTGCTTATGCTGACTTTCCTCTCTTGTGGGTTTGAAATCAAGTTTGTATATGATACTCTCTGTTGATATATTTGAAGTGACAATGATGGAAACATTTCATTTCTCTTCTCCTACCATCAACTGTACTTGATAAGTTCTGACAATTTCCTTCTTATGTTTGTTTTTTTGTTGACAGTCTAGGATACTCCTAAATCCTATTGAAATAAGTGTGCATTACACTTTTAGGTTCCCAGGTTACTATGAATTAACATGGAACAACATATGGACCCTAACACTGAGAAGATGGGTATGAGTGACATTACCAGTTCTGTTCAGTGTTCATTAGTTAGCATGAAGAGGGAACCAATCGATGTTGAAGGTACTTCCCCTGTGGCTTGTGAGATTGCTTCCCAGGATCCCATAAACACCAATTCTGTTGGAGAACAAGTGGATACAGAGGAGGACGAGTGTGAAAATGCTGAAAACCAGTTGGTGCTTTATGATCCTTCGGTCAACGATGTGCCTGTTACTGATCAGTCCCCTCCTACAAGTCTGCGAAAGATATTATTTCCAAACCACTCATCCTACGTACAGCAGAGGATTTTGCCATCCGTCGGAGCTTTCACTGTTCAATGTGCAAACTGTTTTAAGTGGAGGCTTATCCCATGTAAGGAAAAATATGAGGAGATAAGGGAACACATACTGGAAAATCCTTTCTTTTGTGAAACTGCTCGCGAGTGGAGGCCAGATATATCATGCGACGATCCACCTGACATCACTCAAGATGGCAGTAGGCTTTGGGCGATTGATAAGCCAAATATTGCTCAGCCCCCTCCAGGCTGGGAACGTCTTTTGAGAATCAGAGGTGAAGGCGGCTCCAAGTTTGCAGATGTGTATGCTTCAATTTCCCTTTCTCTTCTATATTACTTTGAAATGCACTACTGGTTTTTATCTTTTTTTACCTTGTCTGCCTGAAATGGTCTCCATTCCACAGCAACCATTAGTGAATCTCTTGATTTACATTTTATTGCAGGTATTATGTTGCACCATCAGGCAAGAGATTGCGCTCCATGGTAGATATTCAAAAGTATGTTTCTCCACCAAATCTACATTTGCTAAACAATTTGTTCCTTGAACTTCGAGATGTTGTGGCTATATAATAAGATAGATACATATACCTGCTGCTGTGAAATGCCAATTAATTATCGACTGTAATTGCATTATAATGCTGTTTCAGGTACCTGGATGAACACCCAGAGTACGTAACTGAGGATCTTAAGATGCATCAGTTTTCATTTCAGATTCCAAAACCACTTCAGGAAGACTATGTGAGAAAACGTAGTCATCGTGCAATGCCTCCAAAAGTTGACCCTGCTCCTCAAATAGCTGGATTACTCGAGTCTGCTGAAGGTATTTATCTCTCAAAACATGCTTTAATTACTATGCATTCTACACCCTTGTTGCCCTTTAGGGAAGGAAAACGAAAGGCTTTATATATGGGTGAGAAAGGGTAGATCATATATTTTCAATTGGTAGGGGAGAGATAGACAATCAAGAGGTGCGTGTTATATTTAGAACAACAAAAGTACCCCTAGCACAGCCCTAAATATAAGCCATCGAACGATACTACGATAGGTAATATATACTACGTATGATGCATTCGTAATTCTATTTCCACTTTATTTGGTTAAATATAGTCGTCATGTGTATATATATACTAATGATATGTATATGCATGCAGCCGAACCTATTGCATGGGTTTGTCCAGATGATGATGAGGAGGATACAAGCTTGCGTCTGGGCAGACCGGGGCTCTCAAATAATGCCCTCCCGCCCGTGTCGTCTGATGAGCCTTTGAGCTCGCCATCCTCATTGCCATCATCAATGAACAAGAAAAGGAAGCAGACACCAGCTTTTGAAACCATGTCTGCTGGTGCGGGTGCATGGCTCTGATCATTGTTAGTTCACTACTACTGTATGTTGATTAATTAGAAGAAGACTGCCTTAATTAGCTAGCATAGCTTTCTCCTAATTGAATCCTTTTTTTTGCTGCTGCTGCTGCTTCAGGCCAGGATTCAGTATGTGCAGCTAGTTCAGTATTACCACTTAATTCTGTTGTAATTGTATGGTAGGAGGAGTTTTTAGTAACTTGACTAGCAGTAAACTTTAATTTGTATGTGCGCGCGCCGTATTATTACATACTGTTGTTTCCTCCTTTTTTCAGGGGATGATGACCCGGACTTTGATCTGTCAAAAACCGTGTCATCATCATCCCCTTTTTTCGAAGTTTTGGGAGGCGACCTCTCTGAATTCAGTTTGCTCCCCCTGGCCTTGCTCGACTCTAGATGCTCATGGTCCAACGCAATCAATCAGTACCAAATTTTTCTGAATAATTTTATTTCAAATTTTAGAACTTGTATCATACTTTTCAAACTTACATAAATAGACTTTTAGCATTTGTTATTATTCCCTTTGTCCTAAAACTTTCTTCTCAGTTTGATTTTTCTCCATTTTTAATTTTTGGCTTTGACTTCAAATTTTATCTTCCTTAAAAAATATTTTTTGAATTTTTTTTGCAATCATTCAAAATATAGAGTTAGAAGATAATTGGTGTAAATACATGAGGATATTAATGTCATTTGTCTTTTTTTAATGGGAAAATAGTTTTAGGATGGAGAAAAAGGGAGAGTGGGATAAATAAAAATATAACGGGCCCTTCTTTTTTTTTATGCCTCGTGTTTGTATTGATTATTAAATAAAGTGGTACTCCAGAGTATGTAACTATGTATGGAGTGATTCTTTTTTGTGCAAAGAAAAAAGAAAATTGGATATACAAAATTTGTTGAAACTTTTATGTGGAGTTGAAGATAGGGAGTATTATTTTGTAAAATATTACTCTCTCCGTTGCTTTTAAATATAATCTTCTCATTTGATTTTTATGATTTTCAATGTTACACGTAGACCACCAATATTATTATTTATAGATAGATACAGAATTTCAAAAGTGTATCTTAAAATAGGCACTTTGGATCTTAGGTTCACATGTAGAATTTGTCTAAGTAAGTTTAACATGGGGGGAGAAGATATTAAATTCAAGGGCATTCCTAATTAATACTCCATAATTATATCATATCCATTTGTGCAGATACCATATTTCTATACATAAAATTGAGTATATACTATACATTCTAACTAGTTCTTCTTTGTTTTCGTATATATTCTACTGATCAATAAAGTATATATATAGTGCCTAGAAAAGATTCACTAAGCGCATTAGAATCAAATCAAAATGAAGAATATAGTGCAGGAGTTGATGAGGATGACACAGAAAGTAAATATAATTATAATTCTTATTATTGTCATAGCTTTAGGCATCAACAACCTTAGCTACGCAAAGCGACATAAACACAATTCAACCATCACAACTATAAAGGTATATACTTATTGTTTTCATATCTTAAGTTATATTATTGTACCTACTTAGTTCTAATACTTGTTATATTTATATATATTGATGATGATGATGATGACAACGATGACGCCGATGAAGACCATCCATGGAGAGATTTACGAATGTGTGGACATATACAAACAACCCGGAATGGACCATCCAACAATGGCAAACCAAAGGATTCGGGTATATATGCTATTTGCATTTATATAATACTCCCTCTATCTGAAAGTTTTCGTTTTATTTGGATTTTTAGTTTTTACGATATTCAATGCTACACTTTATTTGACTATTATTATCTCAAATTTGATATATCAATGTTATATCTCAAAAATGGACTCAATTATATAGAGTATTAAATTTATAATGCAATTAAATATAGTCCCTTTGTCCATAAAGTATGTTCTCGGTTACTATTACAGTCTCTCGATAATTTATGTTTTTTTACATATTTTCATTAATCATTTGATCGATAAGATAAAGTATTCTTGTCACATCTTTTTTGTAAAATTTTTGATGTAGTTTTGAACAATGTAAATTGCACTTTTTATACTCTATAAAACTAATTTGTAAAAAGAGTAATTTTGAAAAGAAAGATTTTACACGTTCAAAATGAGAAGATAAAAAATGGACGGAGAGAACATTACTCTTACAATGTATGATGACGGAGAGAACATCATCCCTACAATGTATGATACTCCCTTTGTTCCACAAAATTTCTCTCCTTTTTTTTTCATCTGTCCCAAAAACTTTTTCTTATTTCTATTAAAAAGTCACTTTTACTCCTACTAATTCTTAACCTTCTTATCACATCACACTTTTTCACTACTAATCTACCCATCATATATACTTTTATCTATCACATCTAAGGACATTTTTGGAAGGTCAACACCAAAATACACTCTTCTTAAATCTCTTAAAATTCAAAACACGAAATGTTTTATGGGACTAGGCGAGTGTAATCGATTTCACATTATTTGTTTTAAGACATCCTCCCTAACTATTAAAATAAACCAACAAATAACTTGAGTAAGTTGAATTATTGGATTATTTGGGACAAATTAATTAAATAAATGTAAATACTCGGTATGATGTTTTATGTCCATGCATATGGCTGCACGTGCGTACGGCGGCCTGCCGGCAGATGGTAATCTCCGAGGAACTGGAGAGGCGAAAGGCGGCGGCTGCAGCGGTTCAAAGGAATAATGATGTAGTATCACATGCAGCTGCTAATTACAGCAGCGGTGGTTTGAAGCGTTCCCCGGCGGAGTTATTATGGTTGAATAAGAGAGGGTGCCCTATCGGTACTGTTCCCATCCGTCGCCGTCGTCGTCGTCATCACTCGTTGGAGGATGATGTGAAGACTATCACGGAAAGCCATCTTGATGTACGTAAGCATACTTTAATTTATTCCATTGATTACATGATACTCCATCCACACTTCCATCTCAATCTTTTGGTCCCATAAACAACTATTCCTTCACCTAAAATACCTCTAGAATAACAAATTCCTATCTACCCGCAATAAATGTGACAAACTTTAGACCTGAATTAAATAAAAATTATTCGTATAATGCATTTTAGTATCAAAATAATTTCATTAGATATATTTTGTTGAAAAACTTTCAAATTTTCATTTCATTGTATTAATATACTACCTCCGTTTCTCAAAAGAGTTCCTCTTTTGATTTTGGGAGAAAATAAGGAAGTGTTAAATTGTAGTTGACTTTCCAATTTTGCCCTTGATGTGATGGGTAAAAGTAAGATGTGATAGTTTAGTTGTTAGTGAAAAAGTATGATGTGATAGGTAGGGTATGAAAAAGTAGGGGTAAAAGTGGTTTTTTAATAGAAAGGGGAAGTGTTTTAAGAAAAACAAAAAAAATGAAAGAGGAAGGGTTTTAAGAAACGGATGGAATATAATATAAATAAAGCGTAATCGATAACCAATGCTTGTCCAATTTGAGTAAAAAGAAGTCAAACCAGACAATTGCGTGCACTCAGACGGAAAAAGTACTTTCTTTATCTCCCAAAAAAAATTCCTGTTTTGACTTTTCGTATGAGAAGAGTATGGCTCAAGAAATGTCAAAATAGATAGGGCTTAAAAGATAGTTTAGATAAGTTCGGTTATATTTAAGAAAAGTAAAGACAATTTTATTTATCTAGCCCAAGAGAAAATGTTTTATGGGACTAACAAAATGTGAAAGTTGAAAAATGATGTATAGTTAAATTTACTAGTTAAATGATGAACACTATTTAGGTATTGAAACATGCATACCCCTTCCGTCCCAAAAAGATTTTCATGTTTCATTTTTTGCGCATTCTATAAAACACTTCTACACACATCTAGAATGCCTAAAATTTACCACATTTCTCATTTATTGTGGGTAGAAGTTGTTTTGAAAGTTTTTTTTTGCATTTGAGGCGGGATAGAATTGTTTTATGAGATGCGCAAAATATAAAACATGAAGATCTTTTTGAACGGAGGGAGTATAATCCAAAATATTGAAGTTGTAATAGATTAATTAACTAATAACATAATTCCATGTGCGCATATATATGTTTTATGTATTGAAATGTGTGTGTGGGATGGATCAGTTTGCAGGAGTAATAGTAGGGAAAGCTCCATCAGGACAATTCACAGGGGCTAAAGCCACTATGACCATATGGAACCCCATGCTGAGGGGAGATGACCAATACAGCTCCGCCGCTTTGTACTTGGACAATATTGGAGATAATGACCATAATATAATTATTCACATCCGCGCTGGATGGATCGTAAGTATATATAGTAGTATAATTCGATCTACTACCTGCTGCTATACCTTTACTATTATTTATAGTACGTCCACATAATTTAATTAACTGTATATTCACACTAATTTTTAAAGATAAATCTATGTTTTTTTTACATGAAGGTGCACCCGAAATTATATGGTGACTCGCGCACGAGATTATTTAGCAGATGGACTGTCGGTGTTTATTTCATTATTCCCTATATTTACAGTTATATATTTTCAGGCCATTATTTTGATAATAATTTTGATGAATGCACCTTATTATACAGAGGGAAGACGACGACTATGCAACAACGGGATGCTACAACGATCAGTGTCCGGGATTTGTCGTATTCTCTAACAAAATTCCACTCGATTATCCTTTTCCCAACATGTCCCAGTTCGAAGGTGATCAGTTCGACACAACCATAGATGTTTTTCAGGTATATATAAACGGTGGGGTTCTAGTGACACCGAAGTACGGTGACACTCCGATGCCACTGTCTTTCTTATTTCCATAAAAGAAACTTTACATTCAATGTTTTAGAATGATTTTGTGTACATTATTTAATTTATATAGAGTACTTGGGGAGATTGGGTTCTAAGTGTGGATGAAGAAACGCTTGGGATATGGACAACCCCCATATTCTCAAGCATGGCCAGCGCCGCGACTCAATTGCGATTTGGAGGGGAATGTTTCAAGCCCGAAGGCCAAGACACGAGTCCGGAAATGGGGAGTGGAAGGTTTAACAACGGGCAGTATGACAAGACGTGTTACATGCGTCGCGTGTCTTACTACGATTCTATTTATGGGAGCAACGTTGTTAGCGACGACATGGTTCAACTCCACGATTCGAGATGCTACTATGAAGGCTCCCAAGGTTATAATTTTGAAGACGATTGGTATGGTTACTCTTTTATGTTTGGAGGAGCCGGCAAGGAAGATGAAGTTAGATGTTTAGGCGATTAAATTGTACCAAGTAGAACTAAAATATATCTGTCAATATTTTTTTTATAAATAAAACTTTTATGATTTTAGTTAATTATTCCTTTTATAATTTCTAATCAATTCCTGATTATTGATGTACATGTACAAAAGTGTCTTTTATATAATGATTAAGAGCAATACACACCTCCCAACAGCTAGGGTTTCTATTATTGGCAAGGCACAGTCATACTTTCCTCACCTAATGAACTTAGAATTTTACTTTGGCAGCTCTTTTCAAAAATCTTGAGTGAGAATAAAACACATCTCATAAGTACGCTTTGCGACCAGAAGGCCGGTATACTAGACGACATATTTAGCGATAGGCTTAGACTTGTTGGGAAAGATTGTCGTCATAAATGATTATAGTGTCTTTCATTATACATTTGGGCATACACTTGGACTTTGCTTGTTTGCCAAATACATCATCAACAAGAGTTGGAGGGTTAGTATCCCACTCCGTACAATCAGTGGAGCCTTAGCAAGAATATGAACCACTATATATATATATATATATATATATATATATATATATATATATATATATATATATATATATATATATATATATATATATATATATATATATATATATATGTTACAGGAGAGAGTATATGCCTAGTCTATATCAGAAAGAAACAGTTTACAAGGAAGAACTCAAAAACCAATCACACTGTAAGATGGCATGTGTATCGAATTCTAAACATGGCTCAAACCATTCTACCCCATCACTTTCAAGAAAGATTAAAATGCAATGTGCCGAAAAAACTAGTATAGTAAAAAAAACTTACAGGTGATAGCTGGCCAAATGGAAGAGAAGCATAAGCAAAGATATTTTAAGGAGAAGGGAGTATTGAATCTTGCTAAAATATATTCATGCTTCTTCTTCAAAGCTTGGAGGGCCATTTAACTCGATCATGGGTTTGGGAATGGGTTTTGGAATTGGTTTTGGAGGGGGAGGAATGACTTTCGGCTCCTGATATCGGTTCTCTGGGCGATCAACTATCAACTCTGATTCCATTTTCCTCTTCATTTTCTTTTTTTTCAACCCATCAGGTGCAATATGCCTATCGCTAGTTCCTTTTGCTTTATCGGGTATGGGTCGACCCAAAACAATGCCACCCTGAGAGGAAATAGGCATCGTCTGTATGGCAGAAGTTACTGATGCAGCACTCGGCACGGTTGGCTTATTTGTTGCAGTCAAACTGTGATCTTTTGCATCAACTGCCAACTTCTCTTGATTCTGCACTGGTTGACCAAAAAGCATTGTAGTAGTTGTAGTGGTAGTAGCAGCAGCAACAGCAGCAGTAGTGTCTACTCTCAAAGCATCTTCTTCCTTTTGGCCCGACATTTTGTTTTTTCTTACTTTTTCTTGACTCTGTATTAGTGAGAGAGAGAGAGAGAGAGAACAAATAACATATCAGATGATCACAAGTACTACTCACAGAAAATGTGACAGATGCAACACCAGAGCATAATTGAGTGAGTAAACCAATAAAATTTGCAACAACTCCATTTTACAAACAGTACTCCACTAATATATGAAACATGGACCTCGCTGTTAATTATAGAAATTTAGAAATGAATTTCTAAGACTCCCATTCATTTTCTGGTTGGTACCTAGTAGACCTTTAAAAATAACCAAAACGCAAAAGGATGATTTAGTGGTGAGTGGTGACCAACATTTTGATGTATCTCCACGGAAGCCAGATTGAGTAAAAGTACAACAAGTACATACAAAAATGGGTAATGTATGAACTTTGGCACAGAAAATTGTAGATCTTTAAAATATTGAGACTTGAGAGTACTCTATATGTTCCTAATTTAAAAAGCCTGAGTTAAATTTTATTTGTCAAATCTCTAGTAACCTTGGAATAATAGATGCAATAAACAGAAAGAATCATAATAATAAAACTATTATTACAATTCTCATAAATATACAAGCAAGACAATAGCATTCATACCTTATGTCGGTTGTGTAATGACTTCTTCCTGTCTTTTGCTCTGCAAATAGCTCGTTTGATCCCATGGTTGTCCATGAATCCATTTGGCCAATATGCAGCAAGCTAAATAATAATTACAAAAATTGGTACAGCAGTGCAAAATTATCATGAATATATAAGCAGTTGAGTGCTAAAATAGCTTCTCAATCACTTGAAGTAATCCAGATTAATTTGTATTATGATAAGTTTTTTACTCTCCAAATATGAAATGATAAGCTCCATATAGGCTTTAAATGCAAAAGAAATGGAACCATTAACATTGTCCTGTCCCTGTTAACGCTAGTACTTGCATTTTGCATTAAAAAAATAAAAATATCAAAATATATACTCCATATTAAAGCTACTGTAATATTTTCTTCTGACTTTTTAATTTATTTGTAGATATGTCATATAACAGCAATATGGTAAATAAGAGTATAAAAATACTACTCCCTTTGATCCTAAAAATCTTTCATGTTTTGACTTTTTTGTCAAACAGTTACACTCTTTGACCATAAATTATTGGAAAAGTAAATTTAATTATAATAAATTTAATATAATTGAGTTTGTCTTACGATATAGTTTTGATATATCAAATTTTTATATTATTCATTTGTTTGGATTATGTTTAATTTGTGGTCAAATTTTGACAAAAAAAAAAGACAAAACAGGAGAGGTTTTTAGGACCGGGGGGAGTATGTAATAAAAAATATGTAGAATTTCTTATAAAAGGTAAGATAACAATATGATATCTTTAAAAATTTGTTTGAAAAGATAAGTTTATACACTATAAAAGAGTAATAAGAAAAACGATTCTAACATTATCCCTATCACAATAAGTTCCATACTAAAGTACATGATTTTAAAAAAAACTTAGACGGTCAAGTCAGGTTAAGATTCGTGTTCGATCAGGTTTGACCCATTTTTAGTGGGTCATTTCAGACCTGGTTAACAAAGTCGTTCAAACCCCAATATTTTCAGGTCGGATATCAAATCAAAAATGGGTATAGTCAATATTTTACATGTCAAATCTCAGATAAGAAGCTAATTTCTCAAAGTAATGAAAGGCGTGCTTATGTACTAGATCTCAACCTTATAAACTAGATCTCAACCTTATAAATGGGACTTCACTTTTCAGAGATATACTATGAGGAAACAGAAAAACATTAACTTTCCTTCTCCAAAAATTGATGGTGCATAATGTTCTTGGCCAAACCACCATCATTAGTGACACAGGAATATAGAAGTGTTCCATGGAGAAAAGTAATGAGTGCAGTTTATTTCTCCGATCTTCAGTCAGTAATTACAGAACATCTAAGACTTGTGCCTAAACGGTGAAAAGAGCATGTTTTTCACCTAAACCTTAAGAAGAGATCATTACTACAGATCAACAATATAACTTAAAAATAAATGCAAATCCAAAGTTTCTACCTCTGCATAAAGCTTCCTGACCTGCGGGCCAGCATCTTCTTCCAGTCCCTAAAATTGTAGAGCATTAACCATCCAGAGGTTATTAATAGATCATTAACAAAATGCAATAATGTTAATAAGGTTACTGCAACCACAAAGAGACAACCTCGACATAGAGATCATACAGATCACATATTTTGTCTTCTAGCACATTATCCATGCAATATTTTCGTTTAAAAGCTTCTTTTTCTTCAGGTGCAATTGCTTGAAAATCATCAGAAGTTCCAGCTTGTTGTTCAATTGCCTGCACATATACATCAGCCTATTTATTGAACTTAATTTCATAGAATTGTGGATGCACCATTCTCTCTCAATACATTTTGAAAAGTGGCAGAATATGAAGAATGAGTTATCAAGTGAACAAACTTTACCCAACCAAACATGCCCAGTGTGTCCTACTCGTAAATAAAGTCCGGAGAGGGCAGTATGTATTCAACCCTTACCTCTACGCGAGTACAGACTACAGAGGCTGTTTCTGGGAAGACCTATGCTTAGGAAAACTAATGAGATATTTTGCAAGAACATAAATTTTGAAAAATCGTCAACAATATCAAAAGTTTGAAGATTGTTTAAAAATAATTTACCAAGACTATACTCACCAATCTTCTAGTAATCTAGATAATAACTATATCTTGATCAAAGAAAGTGAACAAAGTTTTTTTCATCAAAAATAGTTATGATCCAGATAACTGAAAGAATGATTAGTATTGGTGAAAACCCAACAGGATACATAAACCGGCACAACCATTAACATCAATTTTTACTGAGAGTCTGAGACCCAAAGAGCTTAAGCCATATTCTGATCAAGTGTCCTAAAGTGTTTGACATGTTGCATTACTATTTCAATGTCATAGGGATCTCATCCCTTGCGAGGCCAGAAACAAACTTAAACATGAAAAAAAGGTAATTCACTAATTCGTAGTAATGTTAAAATATGGATGAGTTGTAGGTTGTGCTGAATATTCCAACTGTTAAAAAGGAGAGAAGCTTGAAGGCTGAAGTTATAAGGCTGATATAGGAGAAGCCTGGCCAGGCATGGACGGAAAATCACATTGGTGAAACTTTCTCTGGGGAAGTTTGGGGTGCTATTGGAAGTATTACTAGAGATAATAATTGTGAGCTGGTAATCTGGTTGCAGTTTTTTATAATCATATTTATTGTTCTGTGTTGGGTGCAAAATATAAGCTAAGGCAACAGGCTTGAAGATTTTTCACAAGACTTTTGAATAAAAATGAACATGGATGGGGCACATCAAGGTCAACTACAAACATTTTCTTGTGTAATGATAGTCATTGGCATTGATCTCTAGCTCTTGACTTAATGATGATTTGGGTCATGAAAGCCAAAAGCCAACATTGTTGCTGATTATTTGGCCAAGAGAAGGCTCTCATGCTTAAGAGGAACTGAGGAAGTGTGTGATTGAAGTTATGGGGTCCAACCCCAAACTTCTTAGTCGTGTGTGTATTTAGAAGGATGGGTTTCCCTATTGTAGATAATCTGAACAACTTCATTGCCCCAAAATCATCTTCCCATATGAAAATGGCATAACGATTAAGAGTGAAAAGGAAAAATATTTAAATGCCCCTAACAACTTTTTGGTTAAGTGAAAGTGGAGTAAAAGGTAGTAAATACAATAAAGCTTGTTGTACAAGTGTTGAAGGTAAAAGTGTATCTTTATTAAAAAGAAGTAAAAGTGTGTGCGAGAAAAAAGGAAATGAGACAATGATTCTTTAAATTGTGGATGGCACTGTTATCTAAACATAATTTAAAAAGAGACAACATAAAATGTGAGTATTCAAGTGAACATACTTCTTAGATCACAGATATAGCTACTATCTGAAATATTAGAAGATTGGTGAATATAGTCTGGGAAAAACAATAATAATAACTATAGTGACATACCAAGCGACATTGAATTAGATTACCAAAAAAAGACATTGAATTGGAAATCAAACCACTGGAAGCCAAAAGAAAAGAAATGCACCTTCGATTTCATAAGCGGGATTCGAATCTTTACCATCTCTGCAACTTCCTTTTTAATTTGTAGCACCTGGTTATCTTTCTCCTGCTTTGCAGATAAACCCGTAAGAATCATTATCTTCAAATTTCTCTGCATCCAAAAACAAAAATCAAACAACGGTTTCATACTCTGGCCATCTCAAGATATTACCAAGTTTTTCCCCACAAACAACTAGTCACAATGCAAGAAAATGGGCTGATCCTTTCAACCAACTCATTCATATTGCACATTCCAGGATTATTATTATTATCAATAAATAAGCTAACAAGTGCTTTTTCTAAATGAAACTAAATTGCTTCCGTTTTCTGATTTTAATATCTACAATGGATAGGCAGAATTTTGTGTGTGTGTGTATTCCATCCAACCCGCTGGATTTGTTCCACCATTTCGTCTCAAAATATTCTCCAATTTCCTTTTAACGAAACAAATATGTGGTTTATATTTTCTTCTTCTTGATGAACCTCAACACACATTCTTCTGATTTCTTAACATCTACGCCTGATCAATGTATTATTCGCTTCATTGCAAAAAGCAACGAAGCGCTTAGC